GAGGTCAGAGGTTAGGTGGAGATAAACGGCCGGTCAGAGTGAGAGGTCGGGTGGAGCGCACCATAGGGTTCGTCGCGATGCACATCGGGTGCGTAGCATTTGATGAAAACTGCTGAACTGATTTTCTTTATACTCAGGTCAAGTCCACCCAAAAATGCACACCCAACCGAGGGAAAGACTTTGCACGCTTTCGGTTCCAAAGCGCCAATGCCTCTAACAAGTCAAAATTCCACTGTTAGTATCAATCACACAACTGAACGTGTCACTCTGCTCACCTAGTTGCGTCCAACTAGTCTTTCAGAACAACGCACCACCTTAAGCTAGCGAAACCACCTTTCCCGACATTCGCATCGGAAACCGAGTACCACTCGCACCAGAAACACTGACCCGGTTTTCGCGAAGTTGGCGAACGCCTCGATGAACAGCTGACTCATGTTTCTGTCGCCCTCCGTCCAGGCGTTCCGGTCCAGTCGAACGTCTCCTGGCAGAAGCTCTGCCAACAGCATCGCACGTGTTGCGGAGACGGCGGACTTCCGTGCGCTGCGCACACAGACCTGGCAGTGAGATGGCACGGCAGGTCATTCCCGTTGTCATGTCAACGCTCATCCCGCCGTGTTTTGTTGTGGCTGTTATTCACGAACCGAACTTCTGCTTGCCATCTGATAGTAAAGAGTAAAACACAAATGTTTGCTCAGCAACATGCGCTGGCGAGCCCGCTGCAGCGGCCTTAGAACAGCATTTTTGAGCACATTATTTCGCAGGACTTGCGAGTTCGCAGTGCCGCTCACTGTCCATAAAATAATGACCTTTAGCTTCGAATCCATGTGCCGCTTGCTAATGAGGCGACAAGTTTCGCCAAGTCAGAGAAGTTCAGGCTCTTCAGACCTATACTGATTTCCTGGATTTGTCCTTCTACTAGACCTGAGGAGCATATCAGCATAGATCCCATAACAGAAGTGGTTCGTTTCACTTGAGCATTTCCAGCATGAATTATGTTCCAATAACGTGTGCAAATTACTCCCCATGATGCCATCCCGTCCGAGGTCGGCCAGAAAAAATGAGCACTGTACAAAATGAAAAGGCGCAGATATTCGCGTATATCAAGAACCAAATCTCACGTATTTCCACCATTTTGTTTTTAGTTTTTAGCTCTACAGGTTTTGTAAAAGTTGGTTAGTAACATTCTCGCAGCTTAACAGATACATCGTTACTATGCTTAAAAGCGTTGTGGCGCTCACATGCAATACACTGACGTAATCTGATGAACTGGAGGGACCTGCCCCGTCCCATCTCCCAGCTTCTGCAAACTCAAACAGTGCTGTGCATAATACCAGTACGTACCACTCATGACATATACAAATTACGAAGCGCGTGGCACCTCTCCTTTCCCGAGGCTTGGCCAGATGGCTTAACCTCCCCCTCCCCGTTCGAGGCACTGAATCCCGGTCACCAGGGTGAACCATGAAACAACGCCAGCTTATACCCAAAGGCGGCTGATCAACGCTGGAAAAGCTTCCGTAACCAAGATGCCAAGCAGAAACGAGTGACACATTCTACACTACACCCCCTTCCCCCTCCGCACCAAACCAACGTAAAACAGCACGCACAGGTCACAGACGTGCATGCAAGCGCCGCAGATACTCTCACGAGATAGCCACACCCGCACACGCCTGGGAAGGCATACGGGCAAATGCCGACTCCACGGGCAAATACGACTCCGTAGTCACTGGGTGAGCCGCGCCTCTTACCGGGGGTCCAAGAAGGGTGCGCCAGTCAGCAATGTAGTACTGCAGGCCGTGAGGGACCTGCCGCCACAGCGGCGCCTCCAGGGCCTCCACCGTGGTGTTGAGCACGTACTGGTACGTGGGCACGTCCAGCTCCAGGGCCATCTTCACCATGGCGTCCACCGGAGCCGTGTACAGCGCGTCAGAGACAAACTGCGGCGCGGAGGCGGCGTCACACCTGGGCACGTGATGTGACAACACGTCATCCCCCTCACGTCACCACATCATCATCAACATCGACATCGCATCTCATTACTTGCCCAACGCAACGTTTCGCTACTTGCTCAACATAAGATTCCGTTACTGGCTCAACATAGCATTTCATTACTTGCCCAACACAAAATTTCGTTACTTACTCAATACAACACTTCGCTACTTGCTCAACAAAACATTTCGTTACACACTCAACATATTTCGTTACCTGCTCAACATGCTATTTCGTCACTTGTTTAACGTAACACCTAGTAACGTGTAGCATAACTTATCAAGCGCACGCTGCTGCCCGCGTTCGCGTCCGCCTCATCTCTCCGTGAGCGCGGCCGGTGGCATCAGTTCGCCCTCCACGTCCTCGCGCTGCCACACGCCGCCCCAACTTCGCAGCAGTCTACAGCTCACGCCACAACCGTGGCCAGCCCATCGACGCACCACCGGCGCACCGGTGTGTGGTGTTGAAGGGTGGTTTCACAACGAGGCCGCTTTGCGGTGTCCCGGGCCGCGCAATAGGAGGCTGGGGCACGCGCAGGGTTTCACAATGGGAGGAGCAAAACCACAAGAAGCAACCGAGAACGCCGGAAGTGCATGCAAACGCGCGTTATCACGTGCACGCATGCACGCGATTTTTCGTACGTGGCGTAAAACATACAGGCTTTCCATCCTCCTTTTTCGGCGTCTACCGCAAGAATCTTTACTGGCAAACATTTGGTCATGTGCATATTAAACGGGGCATCAATTTGGTAAGGGGAAAGCACGTGCTCCCGAGGGTTACCACGTGTGCACGCTCCCGACACATGCGCTGGTGGAGGACGGCGGCGCGCTCACGTTGATGTACATCTGGCGTATCCACGTCTGGTTCTTGGGGTCGGGCCAGTACGTGTACAGATGCCGCATGGCCGTCGTCACGCCGTTCAGGTTCAGCGTGTAGTTGTGTTGTTCGGCCCACTCCCGCACCTTGGTGTCCAGCCAGCGCTGCGTGATGACGTAGTCCGGGGCCAAGCTCGCGTTTCCGTCTGCCGATAACCGGATCGGGGGCCGTGTCAAGACCCGGATCAGGCGCACATCCGGGTCCGAGGTGGTGTCAGGGATGGATGACGTAGGCTCCAGCTCCGGTGTCTTGGAATGGAGCCCTATTGTTAGCACGAACCACCAAGGACGAAGCCCGCGCTTCGCCAACAACTGCGTGAACTTTTTTGTTTACAATTCAGATCATGAGAATTGCACTTATAGTTAATGTACTGCGCTTTATCAGAAACCGAACGGAGCAAAGGCCTGTAACCCTTTATCAGAGGAACCGTTTGCATTCGCATGCACACAAATTGAGCAAGCTGTCACTGTTCCCAAACGGCGCTTCTCCATCACTGCTGTGCAGCCGTCTCTCCAACGACATAATCAAAGGCCATGACCTCCGAGACCTCTCACCACACAGCAGACATATGCCATTCCCAAACACGGCCACACCAGCTTATGTCTCGCCTCCCACATTCACAGGCGGACAGAGAAACCCTGCTCACGCAAGCCGAACGGGTGATCATCCGCCGCACAGACGCCGCCGCCGCTGCCTCCGCCGCTGCGGTACTCACACACGAAGGGAGCCGCCTCGTCCCTGTTGACCCCGGTCAGCAGCCGGAGGTCGCCGCTGAAGGCCCGCGCCCGGTACAGCGCGGCCGGTAGATCAGGCAGCACCCGCCAGTCGCGCTCCGTCCAGCCCTCGTACCAGCCGTCCGGCGGCAGCGAGATGTTGGCCTGCACCACCGGCGCCCACGGGAACACGCCCACGTCCGGCTGCCGGCGCCGAAGCCACGTCAAAGGTCACGGCACAAGGTCAGACCAGAGGTCAGCGCAACGGGTTTGCATATGGACAGCACGGGCTGTGCGGGGTCGGTGAAGACGTCAGCGCAGCAGATGTCATGTTGACTGGGAGGGTAAAGAAATCAGTGCAAAAACTAGTGCAACGGCGAGGAATGAGACCAAAACGGCGTGATACTGCCAAGGTCAAGGTCAAGGTGCGTGAAACGGATCGGCCGTCAGCGGAGTTTGCCGACCCACGAACTCGCAGGCATAGTTCGACCAACGAAGCCGCAGCACGCAAACAACGCAAAGCCATGCGGCCCGGCCTTTCACTCGCTTTTTGCACGGCTCCGTCCTGCCTCGCGCTGCTTTTCACGCAGCATCGACCAGGCCATTTTGCCTCGCTCTTTATCGGACGTGCCACTCACGCAGTGATCCCTCACATGTGATGATTGTGGTTTCGGAGCAGTTTTACACGGACCTGGCCTGTCACGACCCTGTGCTGTAGAACAAGGAACGCTGACAGCCCCGAGTCCGTGGTGGCTACACCCACGGACCTTCCCAACTCCTGGCGGCCAGTGAACTTGCCAGGCAGTCACCTGCTTACGCATGCATGGCGCCAGATGTGAAGCCCAGACCGCTTGCGCCACAGGGGAGGGGGGGGGGGGGCGAAACATCCCAAGCACGCGCGGCAACGTGCCGGCTGCGAGAGTGCCAGTATACTCCAGCCCACAACAGAGCACCGCTCCGGCCCCTCCAGCCCCAACAGCGCCGCCGACGGGCGAGTCCATTATGGAATTGGAGCGTTGACATGGCAAATGCTGTCCACTGGCACTTCCACTCCGGAGAGGCGATTGGCCGGCGAGAGCAGCAACGCAATGTCGGCTGGGCAGCGACGCAATGTCGGCTGAGCAGCGACGTAGAAACGCCCCGAGCATTGCCGGGAAACGTCCGGACGCCGCTGGCGTAGGCGAGGCCGCCGAGACGTCAGCAGCGCGCCAGATTGCCATCAGTAAGCGCCACGTTCGTCAGCGAATCTGCCACAGTTAGTGGAAGGGTCGATATGATGAAGGGCGTCGTGGAAATGTGGCGCACTTGGTGCGTCGTCAAACAGCAGCTGTCGGCTCGGAGGCGCCATGCAGCGATCAGCGAATGGATATGTCATGGATATGGTCACGGTGAAATGAAGAAATTCGAAAGTGAAAAATATTCACCATGATGTACATCTACTTCAGGCTACGAGCTGTACACACCATGTATTCTCGCAGTCGCCGTAATCCAGCGTAATCTGGTGGCTAACAAAAGCTAGCGAGTAATATGTTATTGAAATTTTTTGTTGGGGTAGTTTCATTCCAACGTTGACAAATCCCAAACAATCTCTGACATAGTCTCTTGTCGCCGGATTAAAAAAATATGATCCTACCGTTTGCTCACTCCACATCTTCGTTTAACTTGCTAAGCCTGCTGTGTGCCTCGACTGTGGCCCACAACAACAATCAATGCCGGCACCGAATGATGATATTGCCAGTCAAGACGCATGGTCTATGCTCTGTTCAAATTAAAAAGATGCAGGAAACTCAAGCCTCTTCCCGAAGCTTATTTGCGAGCAACTTTAAGTTCACACATCACCAGTTTTCAAGAATTTTTTTTTTCATTTCATTTCACACATTTTCAATTTTCAAGAAAAGTTTGGTCATTAATACTACAAGAACTGTGATTAATGATTGCAGACCTTATATATTATATCGCACAGTAAGTGGCATGTCTATAATATATCGTTTAGTGTAGGTACTTTGTCTTTGACTTGTCGTTCAGTGCAGAAAACATCCCGATCATATATTTCCGTGGTGTGCATCATACACATATAATATTTAGCTTAGTGTAGGTAATATGCCTATGACATATCGTTTAGTGCATCTACTATACCCATAATATGTCGTTTAGTGTAATTATATATCTATAACATATCACTGAGTGTAACTAATGTATCTGCAATCGGTAACATACGTAAAATATCGTTAAGCTTTGCTGATACTACGGTTTAGTTTAAATCAGCTATTGGACCAGACCGAGCCAGCTGAATTCCAAAGCTTGTTATGGTTTCAGTGCGACTCAAACCCGCCCACGGAAACGCATTCATCATTCCGCCGACGGGCGTCGCGTGTTGAGCACCACAACGCCTGCCCGCGGTGCTGAAAACTCCAGCGCTCCATAAACTCAAAGCCCCAAATATAGCGCATCGAACACAGTTTGCGTCTTCACAACCCAAATAAAGTGGGCCCTCGCGAACGTGTCAAATGGCCGTCCAGACGCCGCGGCGGCCACAAACCGCGCTCGGAAGTACGTCCGCGGAAATCGCTCGAGCTCCGTCAGCGAATTCCACTTCAGATTGCTTTCCCTCGGTAGCCCAGCATGTTTGGCCACTGCTCCACCACGGCACGACGAGATTCAAAGCTCCCGGAAATTGTCATCGAGAAGGGCGTTGGGCATGCGTTTTGTCCGCTAGTGTTGCTATACTTAGAATGTTCAGGCACTCGGAGGACGCGAAGAGTGAATGGATCCATCAGCATGCTGGCACCTCACAGCAAACATTCATAACAAGGGAAGGTGACCAAGTTGGACCTTCAGCAAAAGGGGAAGGCGATCAAGTTGGGCCTTCAGCCAAGGGGAAGGCGATCAAGTTGGGCCTTCCGCCAAGAGGAAGGCGATCGAGTTGGGCCTTCCGCCAGGAGGAAGGCGATCAAGTTGGGCCTTCCGCAAAGAGGAAGGCTCACTTAATTGCAAAAAAAATTGTCACAGCGACTGCGGCAAAGCAGAAGTGTTGAACGAAATCACCACTGAACAATGCCGTGGTTCTGCTAACGCCATCCGACTGGAAGCCTTACGACACAGGAGCGAACCTCTGTCATGTCTTGCACTGCACGATCTACCCGTCTACAGTCGGCATCGCCGGCCTCTAACTGCCGAGTAGATGCATACGACCCCTCCATTATGACTTGGACGTATCTTATCTCCCACTTTGACGTCCACAGCTCCCAGATGTTGGCGCAGCCGGCGCGTTCCATCTTCTGGTACGCGACCAATGACTTCGATGCCTCATTACGACGGCGCTGTCTCCAGTTTAACGCCATGAAGTACAAGTCGACTACCGTTGTATATCATCGTGAAGTCGACATTTCTTACCTCGGACCATTTATTTAAGCGGAACTATCCTACCTCTGGCCATGGAGTACACATCTTCTACCATCGCCGTGAAGTCGCTTGGCGTATTAAGCTGTTACACTGATGCGTCCTGCAGTGGACTCATCTCTGCTCTCTCACCGCGACTCCAACGTGTCCTACTTCTCACCTGGCATTACCCTCCGCGAAGTCCACAGCCCCAATCCTACAACGTAAACGTCCCCGATCTCTCACGGTGACAAATGTGTCTGCCATCTCTCATCGCGTGGCCGTCATCGCCGATCTCTTTATGTCGAGTCCACGTCACCCACTCCTGATCGAGAGCGCGTCTGATCCTCACTGTGAAGTCGACACCGTCCGTCTCCACTACGGCCCCCACCATGTCGTCAACATCTCCACCGTCTCACATTACCGGCGACGTCTCCGATCTCACACCGCGTCGGCATCATCTCCGACATCACACACCGTGCCGCCGTCCCACATTACCGGCGACGTCTCCGATCTCACATCGCGTCGTCAACATCTCCGACATCACACACCGTGACGCCGTCTCACATCACCGGCGACGTCTCCGATCTCACACCGCGTCGTCAACATCTCCGTCATCGCATACCGTGCCGTCAACATCTCCGCCGTCTCACATTACCGGCGACGTCTCCAATCTCACACCGCGCCGTCAACATCTCCGACATTACACACGGCGCCGTCGTTATCTTTGACATCTCGCCGCACCGTCAGCATTTTCGATCTCACACGGTGCTGTTGACATCTGCCACATCTCACCACACCGCCAACATTACATGACCTCCCACCGCACAACCCACGCCTCCGCTCACTCACCGTGAATTAGGATCTGCCCATCTGACCATACAGCAAACATATCTGATCTCCCACCGCACAGCTCACACCTCCGCTCACTCACCGTAACTTCGACATCTGCTACATCTGACCATACAGCCAACATGTCTGATCTCCCACCGCAGAGCCCACACCTGCGCTCACTCACCGTGAACTCGACGTCTCCGATCTCCAGCGCGCTGCGTCCGCGGCTGAGGCAGTTGACCAGCTTGGCGGACGTGTCGGCCAGGCAGCCGATCCTCTCGCCGAACACGCGGGACGTGTTGCGGGCCCACTCCAGGTCCGAGATGGCCGCCCAGTCAGCCAGCGGGGACCCGCTCTGTCGACACGGGCGTCGACGGTTGCCAACGACGCCATGACGGTGTCGGTGGTCACGTGATAACATGGGCGCCGCTCTGGCGCAGCTGCCTCAGCGGAAGTTAGGGGGAGAAGAGTATCGTCTATTCAAAGGTACGCAAATTTTGACGGGTGGTTGAGGATACAGAAATTGCTCGGGTCGATTTCTTCAAATGGGAATGATTGATTACGGACGATTTCGGCTAGCCAACTGTCGGACGATCAAGACACTGTCAGTTAAGCCTACGCAAGTTATACCGGCAAAGCGTTATTTTCAGCCACCCTCACATTCCAGCAGAAGTCCCTAAAAACCGAAAACATCGCACCGAGCTACAAATAGAACACTTTTATTTCATCAAGTGGCGACCGCCTTCAGCGCTGAACAGCGATTGTGGCCCACACCCGCCACCACACGACTCTCAGCCTTTCCGCGATTACCCTAACAACGCCCCCCTTACCCTGACCCTCTAACCATGATCTCTGCTGATCTAGACCCCCTCCCCGCGCCGTCCCCGCGACGTCTAATCCTGATCCAGAGATGGTATGGCCAGTCACCTGTGATCCTGAACCGGGACGACCTGTGACCCTGACCGTGATAAGGGGCGATGAACTGTAACTCCGTCCTCTGACAATGCCCACTTGAAGGATGATATGTGACCCTGACCCTCACCAGTGCGATGAGCGGTGACCCTGATGCTGACCTGGGTGACGACCTGTGATCTTAACCTTGATCCGAGTGATGACCTGTAACCCTGACCTGGGCGACGGCCTGTGACTCTGACCATGATCCAGGCAATGACCTGTGACCCTTACCCGGGGACGATCAGCGACCCGGACCTGACCCGGGGACGATCTGTGACCCAGACCCTGACCTGTGACCCCGACCTGACCTGGGCGATGACCTGGTGCACGATATGGGCCGTGCGCGGGGAGACGGCCAGCAGGCCGGCGCTGGCCGCTCCGGCGTCGTCGCCGAACACCGTGATGCGGCGTCGGTCGCCGTTGAAGTAGTGCACGTTGTCGTACACCCAGCGCAGAGCCATCGCCTGATCCAGTAGGCCGTAGTTTCCCGGTGAGTGCTCGTCGCCAGTGCTCAGAAAGCCTGTAGGTCGGTATGAGACGGTTAGAGCGAAAACAGCGGCGCGGGCTCGCGGCTAAATTAAATCACGTGCGCGGTTTTGTTTTGGCGTCTGTGTTGAAAGCTTTCAACGAGCACTGTCTTTTCATTTTTTTAAAAAACTTTTAACTTGATATGAGGAAGGAGGCAGTTAAAGCAAAATCTGGGGCGCAGGGCTCGCGGCTGAACTAAATCACGTGCGCGGTTTTGTTTTGGCGTCTGTGTTGAGAGCTTTCAACGAGCGCTGCCTTTTTATTTTGTTTTAATACTTCTAACTTAATATGAGGTAGGAGGCAGTTGGAGCAAAATCTGGGGCGCAGGGTTCGCGGCTGAACTAAATCACGTGCGCGGATTTCTTTTGGCGTCTGTGTTGAAAGCTTTCATCGAGCACAGCCTTTTTACTTTGTGTTGATACTTTTAACTTGCTGCTACCCAGGGAGACACCTTTACCATGAACATGATTGGCAAAGCAGCCGTTAGCAGACTACATTTGCGATGGTCAAAGGCCCATGAGGATAAGTTCCGGACGTCTTATTTGCCGACTGGCTCGTTGCATATGGCGGCGATAACCGGAGGCAATTGTTTTAGCAATACCGCCATATCTATATTTGAAATCACTGCCAAAGCTTTTGAGAAGTTCAAAGCAGCACGCGCCATTAAAAACGGAATGTGCCATGTCATGAGCCAGGGTGAAACATCGCCGGGAAGTTTGCTGATTGCGCGAAAATCGTCAGCATTATTCCACTGCACTGCGCAATACAAACTTCGCTCCAAGTTCGCTAAGCGCATTACAGGCTTGATCGCTTCTCAATGCAGCGGAAGCCGAAAGCTTTGGCGAAGAGGCCCTGATGCGATTCAGCGTCGGTCTGAACGGAGCTGCCCAAACTAAAGAATTCGTTACAGCTATAACCCACCTTAGCTGTTGAGTTCCAGTATTGTTGTGTCACTTGATTATAAAACCCGCTACGCACCTGCTGCTGCCCTCACGCAGAAGCGTCTTGAGTGAAGTGTACACGAGTGTGCATGCCCGAAGAGGGCCCTTAAACCCCTCTAGCACAGGCCACGAACACAAGTCTGGCACAGGAGCACTCAGTCGTCGCGGCGGATCGAAGTCGGGCGGAGGACGTCGGCAGGGATCTACTCGCCGAGTCCACTCGGGCTGCCCCGAGCCGGGGCGGCGCTTCTGAACAGCCCGCCGGCGGTCCGCACCATTTGATCGTGCATCTAGCGGAACGCGTTGCCGCGACATGACATCGATGTCTCATCGCAAATCGCCTACAAATCAATCGAAAGCCATTGGGTACCGCTCGAGACTAGAACTGTCAATTTTGAGCCATCAGGTTCAGTGTTGTCAAACGCGCTGATTCGGAGCAACTGGTTCTAGCAACGAGTCTGCGAAAGCGTCGTAGATTCGCGTCTCGACGACCAAAGGTCCCATGTTTGCGTCGACGGAATTCCGTTTGACCTTGACCTAGCGGTGCACCCGACGGCGCTACGGCCGTAGAGGAGAGTGGGGCCAGTCACATCACGTCCAAGTGGGAACCGTAGCCAGGGCGATTTACTCTAATGGTGTGTTCGCAGCGGGCCAGACGACAAAGATCATACGTGACGTCACTTAGAAGCCTTGCCGGACATGCAGAATCTTGCTCCGTTACTTAGCCGTGGTGAGACGGAAATGGTGCAGTGGGCTCATTTATATACAAGTCGGTTTGCACGCCCACGAGCGACGACGGGTGAGGAGCAGACGTGTTTTACGCTACAAATGACAATTTGTAGTTTTCATCGTTAGGCGCCCGCGTAGACGTGCCAACGGACACCCTAGTGTATGTGCAGTTATTGTCACCAAAATTGCATGACGTCACGTTGCGCAGTACAGAATGTTCTTAGTGCGCTGTGATTACACTCCAAATCCACGCCGTGGATGAGTCTCGGGTTACTCAGCTGACGAAAACCAGCGCTCTCTACTTTTCAGCGTGGTTCCGGTTGCACAAGTGAACGTGACTTGGGGAGAGTGTTACAATTTTGTTGACACATAGCTGTTAACCTAACACGCGCTCGGTTGGGGGGTCAGCTTGACCCCCGAAGGTATTTCCGGAATTATTTCCGAACGGCACGGCGTAGCCACACCAGATCTTGCGTAGCTCTAGACAATTAAATAGCGGATTGTCTACCACCAAAAATTTAGATGTACCTTGTAAGGTCGCTGACCTATGGCAGGTCAAACTAGGCCATGGTTTCAGCGGAGGCAATTTCTGGGGAATCGCTTAATCTAATCTAACAGCAGAGTGTTAGACGAAGCCATACATCTCTGAGATACTTTCTCAGGCAACACAATAATGGAATGAACATATTAAATTGACCTAGGGTCAGGTATGAGGGTCAGTTCGAGGTCAAAACCAACCTGTTTTATCACTCTATGGCTTTCTGTATGAAAATTTTATGTTGCTCACTTCAAATTTGTCGACAACAGGGACTGAATTATACGCCTTTAATTAATTTCTTCAAGGTCAGAATAGGTCACTAACCTGAAAGGACATAGGTCAACATTTTGTATCAAGGAGCATGCGGCCTAGCGTACTCTTTGTCACTTATTCAAATGCAAAACTCAAAGCAGTCTTGTATGATTTTGGTCACCATGACCTTCAAAAGGTCAAACAAGGTCATTAACCTAAAATGAGCATGATCATTTTTGCTTAGAGCAGTTATCTACGTTCTGTGGTTTCTTTGGAGACCAGCATGGAATTTGACCTTGTTTCACCTTATTTGACCCGAAGGCCATAGCCTAGGAACCTCAAATTTCGACCTAAGTGAGTTCACGTACAGGCCAACACACCCTGTAAATTTGGTGTGGTTAGGTCTCTTAGTTCCTCAGATCTCAGGGGGTCAAATTGACCCCCACCCGAGCGAAGGGTATTCAACCGGCCACCCGGGCGCGTGTGAAGTGATCGGTGAAAATATGTGTTCAAACCTCCAATAGCTCAGTTGTTAAGACAGCCTGCATTCCGATCCACCCATCCGTGGCGAGGTGGGTTCGAGTCGCTTTAGGCGCCCGTTATTTGTCCTTGACAGATACGCCCTGCAGCCGATGGCAGCGGCCGGACTGAAGGTCAGATGACTCAGAGGGCGGGACGGACACTGCCGAGCCTTGTGGCACGTTGAGCTTCGGCCACCAAAGTCTACCGTTGAACTGGAATTACACGATCGGATGGCAGAGGTCAGGGCTTACATAGCAAGCACTGCTTAGCGTGAGTTTCGCTCCCAGAAATCTTTCAAAAAATCGCCCTGAAAGCACTGCACTGCACAAACACTGCTTAGCGTGAGTTTCGCCCCCAGAAATCCTTCAAAAAATCACCCTAAAAGAACTGTTGGTGCGGGAGCTTCAGCAACTGCAGTATCATCCGCATCCGCGCAATCTTTCCGTCCCTCGTGGTTGACAGCTGGATGGCCCAGCGACGGTTCCCGACAATCACCGACGCCAGCAGGCCAGGTCACTGACCTAGAGCCCCGAGGCGGTAGTTGAAGGTCACGACCACCACCTGGCCCCAGGCGGCCAGCATGTGGCCTGGGAAGCGGTTGGAGGAGCCGTGGGAGAACTCGCCGCCGTGGATGTGCACCATGACCGCGTACAGCTCCTTCACGTTGCTGGACACCTGCCCAATCAGACGTCACAACGGCGTGTTCTGGGTCCGGCAGGATCATCTCTGACGTCGTCGATTTGAGGCAGACAAAAACAATACTAAAATAACGTTTTTGTTGGTGGAAAGCGGGGAAAATGTCTGTTGGTGACGTCTGAAAGATCGACATCAGACTCAAATCCAAGCCAGTCGGAACAGGTCGTTGGCTTAGTCGGAGCAGGGCTCAAATTCAGACCAAAACGAACAGAATTCAAATCACTCTCCAACCAGCTCCAACAAAACTTGGCATAGCGAAGGGCGCATATCTAGCCCACCACCGGCCAGTCGGCACACGCCTCCCCTCACCTGAGGCGTGAAGACGTTGAGGTAGAGGCAGTCCTCGTCGACCTCCCGCACCCCACGTCCGGCCCCGACAAACCTGGCCGGCTGAGGGCATGCCGGCCCGTAGTCCAGCGCCAGCCAGCGCTGCCAACCCGGCCGGGCCCGCGGTGGCTGCGGCAAACACAGCAGGGTCGCTCAGCTCAGGTCAGGTCAGGTCAGGTCAGGTCCACAGAATGATGGCATGACCCACTACTGCCAGGGATGTCGAACATAAGGAGCTGGAACAAGCGAGTCAGGTCAGGACGCAAAAGGTCAGGTCGGGACAGAAACGGTCAGGTCAGGTTAGACCAGGCGAGAATCAGGTCGGGTTACGCTAGGTCAGGCCATGCCAGGCCAACCCCATGGCGTAACAACAACGTAGTTCATCACTGTCGACCAGGACGAGCAGTGATAATGAGACAAAAGGGTCATGTCATGTCAAGACGCCTCACGCCATCATGGGCATGTCATGTCAAGACGCCTCACGCCATCATGGGGATGTCATGTCAAGACGCCTCACGCCATCATGGGGATGTCATGTCAAAGACGCCTCACGCCATCATGGGGATGTCATGTCAAGACGCCTCACGCCATCATGGGGATGTCATGTCAAGACGCCTCACGCCATCATGGGGATGAGCCACGGGTGTTGAAACGAGAAAAACCTGGTCAGGTCTGGTCAAATCGGCCCACTTCGGGTAACGTGCAGGCGTCGTCAGACACCATCAACCGGGACAGGGAGTGCTGCAACAAATACGTACGGCCCCGGCCAGGTCAGGTCAGGTCAACCCCGGGGCAGCGTGCCAGCGCTATCAGCGCTGCCATCGCAAGGTTCATTTGCTCTTATTTGCATGTTGCTACAAAAATAGCTTTTGCTTGATACAATCAGGGGCGGATCCAGGATTTTGTCAAGTGGGGTGGGGGGTGGGGGGGGGACGGCAACATTGTGGGCCCCTGGAGTTTGAGACCCCCCTCCGAAAACATCCTCGCACTTCGGCCATTACGTTTTATAGCACGTCGTATGTAATATATATATATATATATATATATATATATATATGTGTATATATAGTATATATATATATATATATATATATATATAGTATATATATATATACATACTTATCCATTGTCTAATAAATACGGAAACCCATCTTACTGTGCGCGGCCTTGTAAAGCTAGGCGTGCTATGCATGCATACATATAGAGCTCACTCATTTTCTACAGGTCATTCTAAATGCTGTGATTTTGGGGCTAAGTGTTTCGGAACAACAGGCATAATAAACCTGCATTGGCTGCTAACAACCATCAAAACCAAGCATCGACTTAATTCCTAGCTTATGCATTTACGGCCAGCCGGTTGTGCGATGTAATTAGCTGGTGGCTGATGACTAATCAAGAATTTTTCTTGGTTATAAAGGAGTAGAACATATCTTAGCATTCAAAATATGTTCAGAACGTCATACACTAGCATAGCTAGTGTAACACACTTAATAGCCAATGGAAATGACACATACGCCGTCGGCGGCACGTACAATTACATTCGGCAACTGCGCGTAGAAATTCATCAGCGCATTTTCCACTGCTGCTCTAAGACGAAAGCACCAAAGCCAATAGGGACGGAACATGAACGATCATGGGTGCTGCAGGAGGCCAACAAAGTGGCTCTCGTCAACAAGTACAGGGTCTTCAAGCAAAAAGAACCCAAGACCAACGTGGTGGGCCCCTAAACGATCGGTTGTACCTAGGCAGGCTGACATGTGAAGCCCCGGCCGTAGCACAGCACCCTCTGAGCAAATGGGAATTATCCAAGACCATAAATCAATATCCCTGTGCGGTCAAGAGTGCACGGGCTGGTCAACAACACTAGCCTCAATGGGAGTGAAGAGTCCTCCGCGAAAGAAACCCAAGGGAGAGAGTCCTCGATCAAAGTAGAGGGCGCCTGAGCATCGAGTGTCTCCGCGCCTTACCTTACAAGAGCCCTAGCAACAGCACAAGGCGCTCCAAGCAAGTAGAAAGAACCCGAAAGGGCCCCTAAGCAACTGAGTGTGCCCTGGCATATGGGGCCCCCGGAGAAAGTATATAGAGCCTTTCGGGCGAAGGGGAAGAATCCGTGGAGGGAAAACCTGATCGATGAACAGTGCTCGGGCATGGAGGCAGATAGCGTCCCAACAGCACATTGGGCCCTATGAGAAAATGCAAAGAGATCAAGGGCACCGTGGAAAGCTCCTTAGCGATCAGACTGACCCGGCGAGTGGACACATAGGGCCAGGCAACCAACAGCGTCATGTCTCTAAACAGCATAATGGGCCCCAAAATTTCCCCCAAACAACGCTTTTTTAATCAGCGAAGAATAACTTTGTTTGCTTATGAACTCCTTAGTTTTGCTAACAATGGTTCGTGGTGGTCTGTACGGCCAAAGGCATCCAATTTGTTGTGTTTTTGTTGTAAGAAAACTGCGTCCGTGCGGCCAGTTATGGGCCCCTTCGGAGCCTTTAGGTCCCTCGGCATGGTCCATGGGGCATGGTCCCGCCCCCCCCCCCCCCCCGACCTTCTGCATCCGCCGCCGGCCCGAGCAATGGAACAGATGGGGCTCGTCAAGAACCATCTGTTCAAAGGGCCCCCCAAAAAAACAAAACAAAGGCCATCCATTCAAATATAAGATATACTTACGACGCAATGTGTAGGGCTCTGAACGATCGAGTGCGCCCGAGCAGATTAACACATGGGGCCCCCGTCAAGAGCGTGGGGCCTTCCATCTAAATAGGAAGTACCCAAGACCCAATGTAGAGGGCCTCCGAGTGACCGAGCGTGCCCGAGCAGGCTAACAAATAGGGTTACCAACAATAGCGCAAGGCCCTCCATTCGAATGGGAAGCACCGAAGACACTATGCAAATGGCACCAGAATGATGGAATGTGCCCGAGCAGCTTGTCAGAAGGGGCCCGACAAGAGCGTTGGGCCCTCCATTGAAATAAGAAGTACCCAAAACCCAGTGCGGAGGGCCCCCGAAAGATGGTGTATACCCCAGCAGATTATCAGGTGGCTCAGACAGGAGTGTGGGGCCCTGAATTCAAATACCGAGACCCAATATATGGGGCCCCCGAACAATCTAGTGTGGCCGAAGCGGTAAACAGATGGAGTCCCGACAAGTACGTAGGGCCCTCCATTGAGATGGGAAGTACCCCAGGCACAATGTGGAGGGCCCCAGATATTCGGGTGGGCCCGAACAGGTTAACAGATGGGGGGCCCTGGCAAGAGCGTTGGGTTTTCCGTTCAGATATGAAATACGACACGATGTAGAGGGCCCCAATTATCGAGTGCCCCAGAACAGGCTGACAGACAGGGCCCCCGGAAAAACCGGAGGGCCCTCCATTCAAAAAGGACGCATCCAAAACCAGATGTAGAGGTCCCCCACAATCGAATGGGCCCCGAGGATCTTATAAGATGGGGCGCCGACAGGAGCAGGGTCCCAAAGGCCCCAAGCCCCGAGCAGGCCATCACATGGATTCCCGACGAGAGTGAAGGGCCCTAAGCAAGCGACAGGATTGGAAACGCCCTAGGCCAATGTGGGGGGCTCATGAGCATATTGCAAGTGTGTCGGTAGGTTAGCAGAGACCTACGTAAAGGGTCCCTGAGCAACCGAGAATATCCCGGCAGGTTAAGATATGAGACCCCGGCTAGAGCTCACAGGGCCTTTCTGGCGAATGGAAAGAATCCCTGGAAGGGCCCGTGATTAACAAGAGTGCCCAGGCACGATAACAGGAAGGGCCACAACAACCGCGCAGGGCCCGCGGAGCAAATGCAAAGGAATAAAAAGGCAACATGGAATGCTCCTTAACGATCGAATTAATCCTGTAAGTGCGCGCATAAGTCCCCCGGAAACAGCACGGGCCCCTAGACAGTGAAATGAGCCTTAAAATTTCCAGTCCACAACTTTTCCAATCATCGAATGATTTTTTGCGACTTCTCACAAGCCCTTCACTTTCGCTTGCAACTGTTCTTGGTCGCCTGGAAGTCTAGAGATACCCAGTCTTGTTGCGTTTTGTGTTTCTCTCGGAGCCAATGGACCCCTTCGGGGCCCAAGGGGGCCATGACCCCGTGCCCCCCCCCCCTCTAGACCCGCCCCTGAATACAATGTCTCACACAAAACACGTAAAAGGCTGGAGCACAGCCTGACGCACTCAAGACAACAAATGCCTTGGCCATGCGTCCAACCACTCGCGTGACTGGGCGCATTACACGTCACACACGCCGCCGCTTTGACGCAATACTGACGTCTGATTGGCTATCGAGAACGGCGCATTATCACCGCTCGGGCAGCGGAACAAGGTGCCAGAAGGTCACACAGGTCAAACAGCCCGGCTCCGGGCAGCGCGGGACGATGTCTGAGCACTGATGGTCCAGGCGGCAAGTCTGCGGCAAATCATCGTGCTGGTGGGCTGCTTTCTACGCCAGGAGAAAGACGCGGAGTGCGGAAATACGCTGAGCGAAAGGGGAGAGGGAGTGTTACCACCCGCGTGTGGCTCCATTGCGGTTTCCGCGATGGCGTAAGGGCGGCCCGTAAAAGCTACGTTAGCAGGGATGTAGCCTCGCAAAATAAGCTGGGGCGGCTGAGCAGAAAAAGTGTCCACACCTAACCCGAAATATGCCAAAAAGGGCCTCTTCTCGGATTCTTCCGCTTTCTTCACAGAAGTTGGGGGAGGGGAGCGGGCTGGTGCCCCTCCTCCTAGACCCAACAGGAAACTGTACCGCTGCACTTCAGCAGCCCCCATTCCCCCTGCTTTAATGCCACTGCCGCTACGGCGTGCTCCAGGGTCGATGGCCTTCGGGGACGCTGTGCTATGTGGAGCTGCGGAGTTTTTAGCGAAACACGGAACAGAACAGCACCAAGTCAGAGTGCACAATTAACATCCAGCGTCGCATGACTGCCGTTCTTCAGGCGCAGACCACGCCAAACACGAGGCGGAATTTGCCCGTGCAACTGAGAGCCAAGAATGGCTTCATTAACGCAACATGCAGAATGATTAGACCAGTCGCTTGCCGACTAATGCACGAGCCACGACCCCTTGACAGGACATCGAAGTGTGTTGGCCGTGGTCTAGCTGTCAGCAACCCGAACCCTATCGCACTTGGCACCCACGTCGTATGATGTTACGTGTTTATCCTTCTCCCTTCCTCCCTCCTTTAAAAGTTGACTGCCGTAGATCAAGGGAAGCACGACCGCTGGGTCGTGAGCTCGAACCCCACCACCTGCCATTTTTCGGTTTTACCCTACCCGCTCATTATGACTGCGTCTTACGTCCACAGCAACTGCAAACACGCAGTGTCAGACGACCACAACTGACTAAGGACTACACCCCAACAGACGACCGACCAAGCGACGCCTCACCTTAAAGCGCGCCTCCTGCACGGGCGGCAGCGCGTACGGCACGCCGAGGAACGCAGTCACCGTCCTCCTCTCCTTGTGCACGCCGGGCTGCAGCCGCGCCGGCCACTCCTCCGGCCGCAGGCCCGGCTCGTCGAACAGCTTCACCCGGAACCCGGTCAGCGGCCCCAGCTGCGTGCGGAGCTCCACCAGCGGGTTGGTGAGACCCTCCCCTGGCCGGCGCGCGCCCTGCAGGTCTGGCCGCCAGCCGGCCAGCACGCCCACGTCCGCGTCCACGCAGCGGTTCGGGTCGAACTTGTCGTAGCCGACGTTGGCGTTGTCGCCGCCGGCCGGTGGCGGGCACTGGCGCCGCCCGCCGTTGCGGAAGGTGGCCGGGTCGGCCGGAGCGGCGGGGGGAGCCGTGGTGGCGACGCGCCACTGGCCGAAGCGGTTCACGGTGCCGCCCGGGGCGGCGGCTGCGGCGGCGGCACACAAGAGCAGGAGCGGCAGCACGGGGGCGGGACGCAGCGCCGCAGCGCCCGACGCCATCTTGGCCGCAGCGTCGCGCGGGAGCGCGACGCGCCGGTGCGCGTTTCCCCGGCCAACAATGCTTCGCGTACGCGGGCCGCGGGACTGGTTTTGCAGACGGTTCGCGCTCCGGCCGCTGGGAGGCGCTAGCATCGCATCCGCTCGCGTGACCTTGATCCAGCGCCTGAGGCGGTGGACCCGCACCTGTCCCAGTTCTCCCGCCCAAACGCTTGGGTTGGGGGACGCTGCGTACAGGTGTACTTGTTGCGCTGATTTGAGATGCGTTTCACATCAGCGTCAAGTGTCATAACGTGACGTCATCCACCTATGCGCTGGATGACGCTGGTGACTATCACAGACAGGTGTGGTGGTTAGATTTCCGAGGTTTCATCTCAATGGCCGTCGCGGTATTGCTGTCGGGTAATTTGACGAGGCATGTGACTGCAAGAGGTATTGACGTCCATTGGCGCATTGGCGACGGGGGCCAGTGATGAGAGAATGCTTCCTGCTGACGGCATCGGACTCGGACACCGGTGTGAAACTCCGAGCTCGCAACCTCTCGGCCATTTATTTACCCCGATGCCACGGCGGCAATGGTCGTCGCCATGACTTGGCTTCAAGACATGACATGACATGACATGACTTGGCTTCAGCTGTCTTCTAATTTGGAGATGTGAAATGGAAGACCCCAGTTTGCTGTGGGCGGGATCGGTCAATCACATTCCCCGGGTCTTTTTGAATCCCCACTTTGGCTGACTGGTCAACGGTGAAGACGTCACTGCGCGCACCGGTTAAATACCCACTTTGGCTGACTGGCCAACGGTGAAGACGTCACTGCGCGCAACGGTTAAATCCCCAGTTTGGCTGGCTGGTCAACGGTGTAAACGCCACTGCGCGCAACTGATCATATGAGATCGGCATGGTTTGGCGCTTCTTGTGGAGGTGATTGGTGGAAAAGTGGGCGGTTCATGTCTAAAAAAAACTTCATGACGCAACGGGTGCCGCTGGATACGGGAGCTCGGCCTGTATGGTACAGCATTGGTGCCTGGGGCGAGGCCCGACCTTCATCGGTTGACTGCGTTTGGCCTGAACTATTGGAGCAGTCTCCATTTTTGCACTGTTGCCTTGTTTATTGTGTTGCATTGTATGGTATCACACTTCATAAGTGGTTGTGGTGATTCGGGTTCTTGGGCCGCGGCCTGAATGGTCATACAACATCACTAGATGAATACCGAAATGTGTAAATTACTGAAAATCCTACGTCTGGTAGAATAGAATCCGCTAGCCAGCGATAAACCAGCGAAACTCACCCCCAACAATCTCAGGATAGGTAAGCCTTGAAACGCCCTGCCCGAAATGACGTAACCGCTTTTCGGTGAGCCGCGGACATGAACGGTGTCCGCCGCACAGCACGTACCCGTCATTCGCGTGTGAGTGGCCAATTCTCATCCTGCAGGGGCTACTGTTTTTTATGCCTTGCTTTGCGAGAGCCTATCCCATATCCTATCTGTGGCTTATTTGCTTTCAGGTCGTTGGCTGTGTGATGAATATGGTAATGGGAAACGCCCATTTTTCTGCACGGGATCTGTCGTATCACAGTTCCGGGACCTTGATTAAATCCCCCCCCCCTCCCCCAGCTTGGCCGACTGAACAACGGTGTTAACGTCACAGCGTCCGCCGGGAAAATGTCTGATGTCTGACAACGGGAACATGTCTGATGTCTGATGACGGGAACATGTCTGATGTCTGACAACGGGAGCCTGTCTGCTCCCGGCGACGTTGCTAGTTTTATTTTATCCAGACCGTGCTGGCCTCACACACTCCAGGCGATCGCACCAATTCGGATCTCTCAGAGTCTTTCTTCATTTTCCGCCTCCTCTTTGACGTCTTTCCCCGTGCGATACTCACTGATATCCGCAGAAGTGCGCCAGCTAGAAACCCCGCCCAATTTGCGGGGTCTTAATGAGGCAGCATCGTGATGACGTCACCGCCAACATAGCGACGCCTGGATTGCACGCATTCCTATAGCGTTGTCACTCCTGACCCTGTTTTGCTTTCCATATCCAATAACCGCAGCATATTTTGCTTTAACAGACTTATTCCCGACTCTGGATTGAAAGCGGAAGCGAACATATAGATTAAACTTTTTGAAGCACTCATTCGTTGGTGGTGATGGTGTTTACATGTATTTGTGCATTGTGGTTATTGACACCTAACTACAGTTAAGTCATATGCTGAACAGTATGGAACGTAGTCTGTGCAGACAAACCACAGCAACAAGGATATACGGCTAACATCTGGCACAAAAACGAAATTATTATGCTTATTTTTCTAACTCGCCCATGAACACAAACAGCACACGAAAGAAGTGGCACAGCCTCCGCTGTCCACATGAGGGTGGTAGGTGAGGCAGGTGGCCCCCATTGGATACACGGTGGACGTCTGCCTTTATATGAACCCTTAACTTTTGACAGCTGGCAAAAGTGGCAAAAGTTGGAAAGTGCATCCAATCTCGTGTTCTCGGTGCAAGCCATCACTGGTCAGTTTTGTGGCGTTTGACCCCGAGAGCATCCAAAGCAGCCTTTACCAAACTCCGAACAAACACCCTGCGACCTAAAACGCGAACGACTGATCACGAACATTACGCTGGCATGGGGCGCAGTTCCCTGTCATGACTACCCGCCAGGGTTACTTGCTTGCTTAGTAGCAGTTTGGCCATGGTTGCGATAAAGCTAGCCCATCGATTTGTTTGACAGCAAATGGCAGGCCTAACCAGCCCCTCAGGTAATCAAGTTTTGAGCGGTGTGATAGGATTATTAGTGCGAGGGTACTACAGGAGGGACTCCTTCACCTGCGAAGCTCAATGCCAGCACTTTAATGCATTGGTTGGCGTCGTTCTATGGATCCTCGTGGGCGCCTGGTTCTGTTCCATTAGGTTTCGGTATCATCTACATTCTGCTTATGCTCCCGCCTGTGAGTGTAAACACGCCATTATAAGCATTATATAAGCATTAAATCCCTCTTATCCCATGCCACACATGTCGCAATACCGAGTATAAATGCGGGAGCCATCAAGTACACACCGACACATGCTCAGAATTTATGTCTCGATCATGCAATCTTTTTTCGTTTCATGTTGGGGTTAGATGGCGAAAACTTGCTGTATCACACCATGCAACAGGTGATGTGCGATATATATCCTTGCAGGCTTATGTTGCCGTACATGTAGATGCTGGATGAGTCATTCGTCATTCATAAAATCTCCTCCACTAAATGTGAGAAAAACCAGCATGCAGCCAATATAACATGCACCTCTGGGGCCAGAGGTAGCCATACCTTTCCGTCTGAATGACATACTTGCGTATGCGCTATGCATAGCATGCGTCTCCAAGTTATCCGGGGTTATTGCCCGCAGCCTGGCCTGGCACCTGAGAGGCGTTGAGCGAAACTTCCCAAGAGCGACCGACGCCCACTGATTCCAGCAGGGTTGTCGCCAATGAGGTATTAGTGGGCGTAGTGGCCATGTGGTTAGTGCGTCGGAGTCCGACGCGAGAGTCCGGGTTCGAATCCGGGTTGCGCGATGGTCACTGGGAGCCAACGTGGCTAATGAAACCACTGACATGAAAGTGGTATGAGCACATGCGTCGCGTTGTCTAAAAAAAAGAAAAAAAACGACGAAAAAGCGGATGAGACAGGCACTGAGGCGGAATCTGTAGCTGCATGCCTTGCTCTCGTTTATTAGCTGAGGACATTGTTCTTGAATGATGCCGTCAGTCATGTTGCGCACACATTTTACAGGGAACTTCGCTCCGGGTAAGCTGGAAAACCAGTCACTTCAAGGGTAGTGTTCGTTGTGTGAGACTCAGCGGCAGTGGTGCAGCCAGAGGGTGCCAAAGCTTGAAACGCTTGCGAGAACAGTTTTTAGTTTTTAGTGTTCATATTTACTTTGCAATAACATTTTACTCGTTGCCCTGTTGTTTGGAAACTTCCCGCGTTGCCATCCTCAGTTCTGCAACTTTCTTAAGAAGTTTGAATCTAGCAAGATAACAGATAGCATCATTTTCGCGACTCACTAGTTTTCGGTTCACTGTTTTCCTCAGCTCCATTTAAACCAACACCCGAAAAATTCATAACACTCGTGTAAAATAATGAAATTATGATGTGAAAAGGGGAAAACTACCATAGAGCCTTCAGAACGAAGGTCGCCCAAGATAGCGTATCCATTGTTTCATTGGGGTAATGCACTGAGAAGGATCATAGAAGATAAATGCAAACCAAACCAAAAAGGCGTAACAAAAGCATTGAATTGAACGCAGCGTATAACGCATGGTAACAGGCAAGCTAGCAACATAACAGGCGTTGCAGAACTAGGAAAGTTTAGCGTTTACTGTTTTGCTCTAAGGTGGCAATATTCCGTTTGACATCTCGTGCACGACGGTGTGGGAGAAGTGTCAGGCACGAGGGGATGGAGAAACGAGATTAGCAAAAACCAATGATGGATGGATCGTAGATAACGACATCGGTGGCTGCAAGGTTCACGTCGATGTCTGCGCCTCAGACAAGAGCTGTGAGCCATGAGCTCAGACAAGAGCCATGTGCGAACCCACACCACCTATCGGAGCCCAGGAAAGGATTATTTTAGATGGACGCTGGCAGATGAAGTCTGAAACTCAGCGATAAGAATTTCGTGGTGGGTTGGGGCTTGCATGAATCATGTGATCAGGACTTAGCTGACGAAAAGTACACCGCTTAGACACCTGAAGAACTTCATTGTTTAGTCAGGTAACTCGTTCCTGATCTGGGGGCAGAAACGGCAGTGCAGCGCCAGCAGCGCAATGCGCGGGATGTGTGCAGGGTGTGTCGGGATGTGTGCGGGGTGCGGGATGTCTCGAAGGGGAAGAGTATCGGACTGTTCTGCTGACAACTGTCCAAATGCGACTGACTGACCGGCACCTGGCCGAACCGGGGCGAACCTGACCCGT